CTCCAACCTAAGAGCGATGACCTCCAACCTACTAGCGATGGCCTCCAACCTACAGGGGATGGCCTCCAACCTAGAAGCAATGGCCTCCAATCGAAAAGCGATGGCCTTCAACCTAGAAGCCACCCCCTTTTCCATCTTGCCCACCCTCTTGCAAGACATTTCGCACACACCCCATCTGAGGTGCAGGACTCGCAGATCATATTCGAGGCGTTCTTCAGGGCCTCTCTGACATTGTCACCGTCAATGGCTTTCTTCATGTAGAAAGCCTGTTCTTTCACCTGAGCATTAGGGGAATATAAGGGCCTCCGAGAATCCAAGCCAAGAGTTTAAGAGAGGAGACCTCTACCCACAGAGAAAAAGCTAGAACAAACTTGCACTAATGCCATCTATGTAGAACCGTAGAATCTGGCTCTTGGATTATCATTGCTTCAGTCTTCTTGACACGCGTTGAGGAAAGCACCACAGCAGTGGCTTCATCCAGCAAGCGCTCCTGGTCTTCGGCGCCTCGGATGGCTTCGCAAAACCAATCCTGGCCCATTTTCTCCTAATACAGTCTTGTTCCTAGTAGTAATGCCCTTGCTACTAGTCTTGTTCTTAGTAGCGATGGCCAACCTAATAGCGATGGCCTCCACCTAATAGCGTCCTTGCTCCTAGTAGTAATGCCCGTGTTCCTAGTAGTGATGAATGCCCATTTTCTTGCTTTCTTTCTCTGGGCTTTTCTATCCCTCTTTTCCCTTTGCGCTTCTAGGTGTTCCTGGGTTTCTTCCGAGACAGCCGTTGGCAAATCACTTCGGGAACGGGCCGTATGAGTTGCCACCATAACCCTGAGACATGCCGTCCTGTGACAGTCAAACAGCATGCCGTGGCATGCCATCATGGAAATCGTGGAGATTGGATAGTAGGTTGGAGGCCATCGCTACTAGGACTGCTACTAGGTAGGGTTCTTTAAGGAAACCAATGGGACTAATGCCTGCCTTCCTCCACCGACACCAAGTCAACTACCCGGTCAGTGGAGCAGATTTCTGAGCCGCAAGGGCTGCCCAATAAATGATCCGCATGGAAGATCCGCTGAAGTGTTCATCCAAAAATGCAGGGCCTCCAACCGTCAAACATCGCAATCTCACATCACAGGATTCGAAATCCGGCCTCCAACCTAGTAGCTTCTTGCTCCTAGTAGTAAGAATTCTCCTAGTAGCGATGCCAGGAGCCCCTAGTAGCAATGCCCTTGTTACTAGTAGCTTCTTGTTCCTAGTAGTAAGGCAGGAGCCCCTAGTAGCTTCCTTGCTCCTAGTAGCGATGCCCTTTGCTCCTCGTAGCGAGCATTGCTCCTACCAATTTGATCCAAGCGTTGGGAGCGATTGATTTGCAAACATGCAGACATGTCGTCAAAACATGTCGTCAGACATGTCAAGACATTAAACACTCAAGTCGATATGTACAGTTTCCATAGCTACGCTTCTGGAAGCTAGGCGGCTAGGGTGACTTTCCGTGACCTTGAAGTCACAAATTCAGTTAAATTTGTGAGTTCACGTGACGTTGGAAATGGACGTTCTCTCTCTCTCTCTCTCTCTCTCTCATTGTCCCCCGTGTCCTTTCTATTATCTTTCTATTTCAGATTCTGGTGCTGAGTTTCTCACACCAAACTCCGCTTACGACATTGCCATCAGTGCCTCAAAGCAGAATAACGGGTTCAACCTCAGCCTCTTTCAAACCTCACACGCCCGCCGTTTTAACTACCCCTGGCTTATGTGGGCGTTGCTGGAATGCCTCTCTGAACGCTCCACGAGATCAGGAAAGAAGGTCCCGGCCGTACAGCACCCCTTTGCCGTGCATCTCTCCATGCGACCATTGCCCTTCATAGACCCGGCCTCGGTACAATGCACCGATCAATACTTGCGATGGAATTCCAAGACTAAGCATGCTGCCATCAGGCCAGGTGTAGACACCAGGCCCATGTTTCTCTCCATTTCTTAGCCACGAAAAGCAGGTAAACATCAACAACACAATCGCAACACTGCGGATAAAAAACACTTGGGCCAATTTGAAGCCTCTGAGATTTTCCGGGTCCTCGACAAGTACTGCCCTTCATACGCAGCACCTTCAGCCAAAGCACGATAATGTTGGAAACCACTCAAGTGCTGAGCTGACAAGTCCTGGAAAATGGAAACCTACAGATCTTTTTGGAGCAAAGGAAGATGAGGTGAGAAAGTTCCACGTTACGGGCATGTAGGCTATATACAGCAAATACCACCGACAAAAGCAACTACCAATACCACTACCACTACTACTACGACGACTAGTACTACTACTTCTTCTTCTTCTACTACTACTACTACGACTACGACTACGACTACGACTACTACTACTACTGCTACTACTACTACTGCTCCTACTACTACTGCTGCTGCTGCTCCTGCTCCTGCTACCGCTACGACTACTACTACTACTACTGCTACTAGTAGAGCTAGTACTAGTACTAGTAGCAACCTACTAGTGATGACAGAGATGGCCTCCAACCTACAGTACTAGCGATGGCCTCCAACCTACTAGCGATGGCCTCCAACCTGCTAGCGATGAGCTCCAACCTACTAGCGGTGGCCTCCAACCTACTAGCTTGGTGTCGCTTTGCTCGATCAACGATGCGGCGCACTATGCAGCGAAATTAAATACGTGGGCAATGTCCCTGCCTGCGCCTTGCCTCCGTGAGACGTTATCCGTGAGACGTAAGTGTAGGCCTACTAGTAAAAAGGGCACCGCTACTAGTAACAAGGGCCGATATTGAACGACAAGACGTCTAAGACCCGCTGCCTACCCGACAATTTCTGCTCCCTTATGTTCCCTGGGCGTGCTAGAAATCGCATAGCATCGGCTGAAAATGCGGGGGCCCCGCCACTTGGCCAAGACATCTGCCCATAGCCAGTCATCTGCCTGCGACGGGAACCTTTAAACTCAAACAATGCAAGGTTACAAAACACAAGCTAGGTGCTCTGCCCAGATTTGAAGGATCCAGAATAAACACGCCTTATGCCGGAAACGAAGAAAGTGGAAACCAAGCCATGTCTGCTGGGGAAGGCTTGGTACGCATTGAATTTTGGAATCCGGGGCCAAGCAACTCCCACCTTGCGGACCCATGCTTTCAACCTTCAGCTAGAAGCTACTAATAACAAGTGCCGTACTACTAGGAGCAAGGATGCTACTAGGGGCTTCTGACATCGCTACTGGTAGCACGAAGCTACTAATAACAAGGGCATTACTACTAGTTGCAAAAAGCTACTAGTAACAAGTGCCTGCTAGTAGCACCTTTCCCCCTCATCACCCTTCAATGTCCTTGAGCACTGTTGCTCATGCAGAAGAGGTGCCCGTCTGAAAACTTGTAAACGCCTTCACCATGCATCTGATCCTGGTGAAAGAATGATCCACATCAACACAAAAGGTGCGAAGAATTTCCATTCTGAGGAAGCGGCATTTTGGAAGCAGCCGTTGTAGGTGGTGCACCCATCAGCAGTTTGGTAGAACCCCCTTCCATGCTTGTTGCCGTTCAAAAAGGATCCGCGATAGACACATCCATCTGCCTGATCAGTTGGATGGGGAAGTGGGCCGCAACAAGGAGCAATGTCTCTTCTTTTGCTCTTCAAGTCTTCGAGTCTTCGGAACCTGGAGTTTCTTGTAGCGATGCCAGGAGCCCCTAGTAGCGATGCACTTGTTACTAGTAGCTTCTAGCTACTAGTAGTAATGCACTTGCTCCTAGTAGCTTCTTGTTACTACTAGTAAGGCACTTGTTACTAGTAGCGAGGCACTTGTTCCTAGTAGCTTTCTGGCTCCTAGTAGTATGGCCAGGAGCCTCGTTCGTTGCGTCCTTGTTCGTAGCGATGCCAGGAGCCCCTAGAAGTTTCCTCGTAAGTCCAACACAAAACCAGCCAGACAAGTCACCCACAGCTCGGTCCCAACTCCAGAGCGTTTGTCCTCGCGAAAAGGGAAGGCGCTTGCTAGTCTTGAAGATCACGTGTATCCATCGCTACTAGGAACAAAGGGCATCGCTACTAGGAGCAAGGACGCTACTAGGGGCTCCTGGCCTTACTACTAGGAGCAAGGACACTACTTCCATCGCTAGTAGGTTGCAGGCCATCGCTTCTCTGCCTAGCGGATGCAATGGACACGTGACGGCGCCCCGCACCTCGAGCCACTGGCCTTCATATGAGCCAGCACCACCCTTAGAGGTGTTCAAGATCACCTTGAAACCTGTTGGGGGGAAATACCTTTTGGACAACATGATGGCAGCACTGCGCAACGATATCTATCTATATATATCTAAAGATGCAGCACTCACCCTTTGTTCCACTTCGCAGCGATTTTGTCA